ACCTTTTTAACCGTGTTTGAGCGTCCCGTTTCAGGCGCGTGAAGGACGTCAGCAGTGCTGCACATCGTCTTCCCAAAGTAACTCTGTCCCCGTTAAATAGTCCCATTGTGTTCCACCCCTCCAGACCTCGCTGCGCCGCTGGGCTGGTGCCCGTCTCAGTCCCGCCGCCTCTGCTGCCTTGAGCCCTCCAGGAAGCTTCTCAAGGACATCTTAGCCTGGGACCCAGGGGAGCGCAGCTGTGCTGGGGAAGGGTGCTGGCCCTGGGCTGTACTGCGGGAGGTGGCGCGAGCCATGGGACTGAAACCGAACACTGCGGGCACGTGTCAAGGTCGGGCGCTCTTCATCTGGGCGGGACTGTACCAACTTGGTGTGACTGCATGAAGTCCCGATATGCTTAGTCCCCACCGTGCGTACTTAGCCTGATCTCGTCAGGGCGTGCAGCGCAAGTGGCCAGGCGGGGCCCTGCTGGGTTCTTCCTCTGAGCTGCGCCCACAAGACGCCAAGGGAAGCCACTGCTCTGAGAAGTGTTTGGGTATGTGTCCGTGGGTGCGCTGTGGACACCGGCTGGCTGGCCGGTGGTGTTTCTGTGCTGCCTTCACGTTTCTTACTTTGTGGAAGTCTTCCTCCCTCAAAGACTAATATATATCTCGCACAACTGCTTTTGCATCATTATCCGATACACGTGTGTGGTCAGAGGGTGGATAATATTATTATCTTCACTTTATAGATGGGGAGACAGTCTAAAAAAAGAAAGTCAAACCACTTTTAAATGACAGTCCCAGGGCAGAACCCAGTCTTTCTGACTCAGAGTAGACTACTCTTCCCTCTAAGGGCTGAGTCTCAGAGGCTTAAAGATAAATTGATATGGTACATTGGTAAAGGACAAAAGCAAATAGGTCCATAAAATGATAAACAGCACAAATTGGCTGTTGTTAATTGGATGCTAATTAAACACAACTAAAAAGATATATGTCACTGTAGGGTTTGGCTTGGCTGGGAGAAGTAGAAGTTAGAGGGTAAGAACTTCCCACGGAATCCCAGCCTACTTGACCTACTGCTTTCTGCCCATATGTGTGCTTCATCCCCTTCCTGGCACTTCACCTACTCCTTTTCAGCGTCATTCATAAGATGTCTGTTGCTGGACATCAGTGCATCTCATAAGTTTCAGAAAGGGGTCAATATTGAGGCCCTCGTGAGACTTCTTGAATAAGATTTCTATGGTGAAATAATTAGGGAAAGGCTGCACCTCATACTCCCTAGTTGGACACTCCTAGTACAGATGACCATATTAAAGGCTCTGAGAAGTCCTGCAATAAAAAAAGAAAGGAAGGGAGGGAGGAAGGAAGGAAAACACGGTTTAACTTACTAGTTCTCAAACTTAATTGCCTACAGAGCCCTGTTTGTACCTACCATCTGTTAACTTGCTGTGGAGATAATACTTGAGGAACATCATTTGGGAAATGTTTGCCTGGTGTACACAGTGGTGCCTAAGGTAGACTTGAGGGCCAGTGTGTGTTGGGAGTTGAATTAATGGTGTCTCCTCAAAATTCACATGTTGGAGTGCTAATCCCGGGATCTCAGAATGTGACCCCCGACAGGGTCGTTGCAGATGTAACGAGTTAAGATGAGAACATCCTGGTGTAGGATGACCCCTCATCTAATATGACTGTGTCTTTCTAAAAAGGGGAGATTTGGACAGAGACAAGGACACAGGGAGAGTGACATGTGAACATGAAGGCAGAGATCAGGGTGATGCTTCTACAAACCGAGGAGCACCAGGGATCTCCAGCAAACCCCCAGAAGCTGGGGAGAGGCCTCCGCTGACCCTCGCCCATGGCCTCAGGAGGAACTGGCACCTTGATCTTGGACTTCTGGCCTCTGGACCCGGGAGACAATACCTTTCTGCTGTTTAAGCCGCCAGCCTGTGGTGCTTGGCTAAGGTGGCCCCAGGACACTTGGCACAGCAGGCACTGGGCAGGGCTTTAGTTTCTTGCTGGGGTTCAGAGGTCCGGGATTCCGAGGGCCTGAGAAAGGCCAGGGGTGGACACTGGGGCAACCGAAGGGCAAGCATTTCCATCACTGGTGGTGTAAGTTGTTGCAAATCAACAAATAGCCCAGCTCTTGTGCCTTAATAACCCTATGGAAATAACCAAGATGTTCACGGTAGGCCATTTATGAGGAGGGAAATCGGACGCATCCCAGATGCCTGCGGATGAGAAAGTGCTCGGCGACCCCTGGAAGGAATGCTCTCTGCTCCCAAGAGGACAAGTCATGATCCAGGTCAGAGAGTGGGGATTGTGTGTGAGGTGATGCGCAACACGGAAGGCAGTCCACAAACCAGGCTCTCGCACACGTGGCTTGCGTGGATGCTGCCGAGGCCACGGGAATGTGGGTGTTCACAAATAGGATGAAATGTTGTCCATGCTGGTCTCCAGCCAGGCTTCTTTAGGCCCGCTTCCCCGTTTCCTCCCTCAGTGGGCACGGTCCCCAGAGTGAGAGCCATCCTATCGGTGGGGATGGGCCGCCCTTGTGGGCCTGGGCCCTGGATGTCACTCCTGCAGCTGGACCTGGAGCTCCTGCCCAGCGGGACACATGCTCGCCCAAATCCTGTTGGGGACCCAACCCCAGGGCAGGGGAGGCAGGGGAGGCTGGAGAGGCTGACACACCCTCCTGGCGTCCCCGGGACGGTGTCCTCTGCTAAAGCAGTTTGCAGCCACCACGCATCAAGCTGTGGAAGAGTTGTTCAGAGTTTTCTAGAGGGAGGAGAAAGCAAAACATGAACAGCAGGTGGGACTCCACCAACAGGTCACGAAGTTGGGGGCACCTTCAACGTGTTCTTTAATCTTGTTTATTCCGTTTTCTGCCGGAGGCATGGATTATGTTTATTATTATTGTCATTATATCATTATTATTATAAGCAGGAAAATACATAAAAAACAGCAGTCTCAGCCCTCCCTTTCATGTAGAAGTTAATGTTTTCCACCCAATTACTTAAGTCAAGATTGAAACTATAAAAGGGACAGGGACCCCTGTCCCTTCATTCCCAAGAGCTCATTTCAAGCAGAGATAGGGAAAGAGCAGTAAGCTGACACACAAATAAATAGCAGCTTGATTTAGTTTAAATGAAGGAGAATGAACAAGTGAAGGGTCTCCCTGGCTGGTGCGTCGGGCTGCGCCTGGGCTCTGGCCGGCACCCCCGTGAGCTGAGCCTGTCTGGGGCCGGCCAGGCCCGGGAGAAGGGCCGGGTACAGTCTCAGGCAGGTTTCCGATCACCCACTTAGGAGTCTGCAGTGGGAGATAAAACTGTAGGACCAGCCAGGTGCTTCTGCTGCCTGCCTTGCCTGTTCCAGAAAGATCGTCTCGGCGATCTGCCGGCGGCCGTGGGCTCAGGAGGGCCGTTTCCATCCAGAGCGGACCTCCATCCCCGACTGTGGGGTGCCTTTACCAAACAAACAACCGTTTTGTCCTTTCCTTTGACTCAAGGCTTTTGGCTTTGTTAGGCTGTAAACTTTGAGGCCCCGCGGGAATACAGCGGCCTCTTGCAGGGACTGAGGCCGGTCCGGACGTGGGCCGTAGCTAAGGTCGCAGCGGGGAAGGCCCGTCGCCCGGGGCACCGGGGGGCGGGGGCACCTAGGCGGTGGGGGCTGGACCTCCGACTCATTCCGAAGCCCGGCGAGTCCGCCGCTCAGCAGTGCAAACGAGCCCAGGCGTGGAGGGCGGAATGAGGCGGGGAGTGGCCCGGGTGGGGGCGGCCCGAGAGAGGCAGCCGCCGCTGCCCCCCAGTGTCTGCCCTGAAACCGGGTGAGAGCTGAGCCGCCCCGCTGAGAAGCAGGGGCAGGGGCGGGAGCAGCAGGGGCGAGGTGAGTGGTTGACAGGGGCAGGGGGCGGAACTGGGAGAGGCGGGGGGCGGGG